GGAATGCCATTAAAGCGGTGCAATAGGGCATTTAAGCTGCTTTAAAGGCAAATTTTGTGGTGTGTAGAAAGGCCTGTAGGTACTATTTAAACACATATAGTAGCAGAGTTTCACTATTTGTTTTTGAAATTTCACAGTTGCCTTTTAGTAAGCAAAGAGGAGAATGTTATGTCAAGACAAATTGCATGGAAGAACAAAAAATATCACCCTCCACCATTATGTACTACAGACTTAATTAACATTCTTGAACTTTCTGGGCAGGAAGGCTCCCTAAAGAGTAAAAATTGACCACCAAAAAAAATGAGAATTTAATGCTTCAGAAAGGCCTGGATAATAAGTTAAAACCTTCACAGAGGTCTTCTTCCAAATTCAAGGAAGAGAAGGCAAAAATCCTGCAAAATTATCTTTATAGATAGAATTACAAAGTAACTTTCCCTTCTCTAAAGGCATCCTATATGCTCCTCAAAAGGAAGCAGTTCAAGAATTGTCCCAGAATAAAAGGAACACTGCAAAACACAAACAAGGCAACTGCCAAGGTAACATGAACTAGGTTACTTGGAAATTCTATTTCTTAGACGACAGAACAAAGGATTTTCACTCTAGTTTAAGAATCCAGTGCAAACTGGGCAAAATAGCCAAAGCATTAAGAGTTTGGAAAGCTAAATGTCATCTGCTTCTAGCTCCATTTTCCCATATATCTTCACAGAGGTGAAACTTTCATCCCCTTCAGGTAGTGGTTTGTACCATTCAGATGCTCTCAAAATTTCAGCTCCATTTTTGAAAAAAATGGTTGATGTTCACTTTAATGACAAACCACCACCCCTGCAAAATAGCAGACCCTAAAACCAGAAGTGGGTGGATAGGAGAATATGTAAGTCAGGGCTGTTGAACTGGCAACCTGTGGACTCCTACCTGGCTGCCACTCTTCCTATTGCTTTGGGGAAGATGGCTGGGATCTCCAGACTCCCCCACCCTCCTCCCGGTTCTGATTTCTGCCTGTACTCCTGGGTGCAGGGCAGGTGTTATGCACACAGCAGGGGAGGCTAAGGAGAAAGCTAGATTGTGTCTGCAGCATACTAAAGGTGGGCTTCTTGCATGAGATGTGCAGACAGGGAGGGAGTTGCAAGTGCTGCACATGTGGCAGGAGAGGGGAGCTGGGTTATGTGCACAGTGGAGAAAGAACTTAGTGCAGGGAAGGAGTGGCCCCTGCAGTTGTTCAACCCCCAGCTGCTCAGAAGTTGGACAGCCCTGATTAAGCTATTTAACTTTCTTTAAACATTCTACCACAGCAATCCTACACATATACATCACGTAGATTGAGATATCCAATTGAATAAAAACAACAATTCACACCATGAAAAGCAAAAGAGTTAAAAAAGCAGCCAGTGTTTGATAACTAGTCAAAAAGACTTTAAAAAAGAGGGACCAGGCACTTCCATAAAAGTTTTGGATGGGTTTAAAACAAAAAACAGCCTCAAAGATGCTCTGATAAGAACACTTTCTTATTTGACTGAGTTAGAGAAGGGATGTGCCAAAAGCTACAACTCTCCATAGAGGAGGTGGGCTTTGTAGGTCTGAAAGGCCGGAGTATAGTCCATTCCCAGAGTGGAACACCAGTACTGTTACTTTGAAATGTATGCTGCAAGGGACAAAACACCCGGGATCTTTGTCGTAGCAACTGTTCTATTTCAAATAGCACAAGATCCAACTGTAAGGAATCTTGGGACCCTGACACATGTTACATTTAAGATGTGATTAATTGATTAATCAATGAATCGCACCTTTACTTTAATGTCTGTCAGGAACCTAGGTCATATGAGTAAGAAACTGAAAGCTATGCCCTACAATAGAATTCTCTTGCATTAACAATAACCTCCATGGAACTGGAGTTGGAGACAAATTTGAATGGACTTCAGACATTGTTCTAAATGCAAAAATTTCAAGACTTGGGCTGGAGAGGTGACAAGTCTTTTCTTAGACAAGACAACAAAATAGTGAAGGCAGAAGAATCTACCTTTGAAAATCCAAAGCAAGATATGGGTAGCTAATGAGCTCAGAAAACTGCTGACCAAGCAGAATTTAAATTTACTACAGTATAACAAAAAAATCCCCTGAATACTAGCTCATTACAAACAGTGACTAAAAAATGCATAAGAGCTGCTCAAGATCAGTATAAGAACTCAAAAAGGAAAAAATTAATAAGGGGTTTAATACAGAAACCCCTCTCCCTCCCTCCCCCCGATAAACAAAAATGACCAGGACAAACAATACTGGTCCACTTTGTTCCAAAATCTTAGAAAAACCCAAACAGTTCGTAAACAGATGCTATTTTTCTGAAAACCAATTAGTTAAAAGGAAAAAAAAATGTGATTCTTGTATGTGGCATTTAAAAGGAGGCCACAAAAGCTAAAAGCAACACAATAAATCTTTTTTAGTCATACTATTAATCCATCTGGAAAACTACTCTCACAGAACCAGAAAGATTTGAGACACTTGCTTAGAAATGTCAAGGTTCTGTCACTTAACCCTGCCAAGAGGAGAATATTCCTGGGTTAAAGAGTGAACATCTGTATTTGCTGATGGATCCAGCCCAGTTTGGAAAATGAATGGCAGGTCTATTAGTTCTTTGATAGTGACTTTCTTATCAATTAAAATGAAAAAAAGAAAAACAGCACAATGAACTCTCATCTGGGTCAGCAGAGTTGAAACTCTGATTCACAGCACATAACTCAATCAGGCAAAGTAATGGAATAGCTGGTAGCGATAGTAAGCTGCTGTCTTCCATGTAGGGTTTCTTAAAAAGGACCTCCCTACTGCAAATGGTTAGGAATCCTGTTGGCAGACAGCACAGAAATGTTGAAACTCAGGCCCCTGACAAAAGTTAATTTAATTGCACAATTGGGATATGATGAATTTTATCATGGATCTGAAAAATTGCACATCCCGCCATGCCACGCATTCATGGCAGGTCATGGAATTTTTGGGATCCAGAATATGATTCGTCAGACGCCAATCACATGACAAACAAGTGGGGAGTCCAACACTAGGGACTCAGTCCCTGATGATGGGCTCCCAGCCTGCCCAGATGTTCAAAGGGGCCACGGAAAGCATGGCATCAGGGACTGATCCATGCTATGTGGAGCTTCACTATGCAGTTTTCAGAGTGCCAACACACAGGGTTTTCAGAGTGCCTGCATGGGGCTGCACTGTGTGGCTGTCAGCATGCTGATCTGCTCCCTGCCTCTGAAAAATGTGATATCAGCTGGTGAGCTCTCCACCCTCTGGCACCCAACACTCTCCCATGACCAGCTGCCAGTGCCACAGACCTAGGGAGCAGACAGCTGGGGATTGTGGTACCGTGCTAGCTGGTATTCTTAAAGCCTAGCCGTATAGACAGCATCAGACTGCATGGCAGGACTTCACCCCACCACACATTCAAATTTAAAGCAAGATAGAAACCAACTACAAAAATGTTTCACATATAATGGAACACATGCATCATTCTCGTGGCTGGTTTCTCATGTTATTGCACCATTAATTGCCTGAATATGTGGCAGAGTTACTATTTATGGTGTGGTTAATATATTAATTGCATCATAGCAAATGTCTACCAGGAGCCTCAGAATCCCCACCTGGCTTCAGCTTTCTGAAGTCATGTGTATGGTAGGCCCTTGGCGCACATCATTTAATGGAGAAATGGGATCTGATCCTTGATCCCAATCACACTTTTTCTATTTGCCAGTGCAGGGCAAACCCAGGATCACGATCCAGGCTCCCCTTTACTAACAAGTTGAAAACTGTGTGCCGCACCCTAGCTTGTAGGGCTGACAATCCATTGGTTGTCAGTCCCAGCCTTTACAGCCCACACTCCTGTTTGAGACTTGAGGCTGTTGGGACCTGGGCTGACAACCAGCTGATTGTCACCCTTGGTCCCAGACAGCCCTGAGTGTGCTCAGGACCCCAGGCTGTCACAAGGCTAGGTCAACATCAGCTGATTGTTGGGCCCAGTCCCAGGACAGTCCTGGATTGTCCCCAGACTCTTACAAAAGCAGCAGCATAACTGTTAGTTCTTTACCGTAAATAGCTCTTTATTAAAAACGTTCCTGCAAATAAAGTGTTGCTTCCACACCACAAGCCACATCAAGATATTACCTGCAGCTCACTTTCTGCATCAGGCACAAGCTACAGTGCTCTACCAATAGTTATGGGTATGGGAAGGTTAACATAAGACTCTGCCATCTTGGCAGCTGCATGGCATACACGGCATCTCCATATGTGCTGCTTTTCCAGAGAAGAAAACACAGGTAACCCAACTGAGGAGCTGATTTGGGGGGGAGAAGGTGCATTGCATGTTGTGAAAAAATATAGTATCTAATCAATATAGAAATAAAACCCTATAAATCACAGAGGTAAAAAGCACCAAAACAATTCTCACTTAGGATACATAACATCTGGGCAAAATGTGACCCACAGGCCGGATGCGGCTCACCAAGCCATTCTATCCGGCCCGTGGGACTCCTAAAAAATTTAGAAAATTAATATTAATTTGCTCTGGGCTGCCTGTCATGCGGCCCTGGCTGGCTTGCCAAAACTCAGTAAGCAGCCCTCTGCCCGAAAGAATTGTCCACCCCTGATTTAGATGAATCACGAGTATTAAGAAGCTTGGACATTACCTAAACATAAGAGGGCAAAATGTATATAAATCCTCATTCTTCAAAGGGTGCAAAACTAACTCTTAATAAATAAGGAGAAAGAAGAAGCGTCCACCATGGTACCAATTACAAAATAATTTTCTATGTGGTGTTTCTTGCACTTTTCTCCAAGGCATCTTGTACAGGTCACTAACAGGCAGGATACAGGAGCAAACAAACTAAATATTAGAAATAGTACAGCAGTCCCAACATTTCTAGCTATCAGAGCTTACAATATGCAGCTTTACACAATGTATTTTCCCTTGATTTCAAAAGCTTCCTAACAAGGAATAAGAGAATACAAAACAGAAAGGAAAAGGTAAGTTTAAGATGGAAGAATTAAAAATCAAATTAGAATCTACTAAAATATTCTACCTAATTTGCTTTATAATTAGAAGAATATTTGTAACAGAAAAAGTTTCTTCCCTTTCCCAGGTGATTAACTGCTTCAAACCACTATTCATTACAAAATATGCTAGGCACCATCAGTTTAAACATGGAGATTTCAAAGTCTTTTCAGACATGCCAAAAAGTGTTAACATATCACAGGTCTCGTAAATTTAACTGAGAATGGATCTAGAGTATGAGAACTGAAAACTGTTATCTCCTAAGAAAAGGAATGTTGTGCTGCTGCTTTAAGCTTTGTATGGGAGAGATTAAAAAATGGTAACTAGTCATGTAACAAATTTCAGGACTTCCATGAAATCTGAAACATTATATCTTTGTAAAAACTAGGGCTAGACTCTGATCTTTGATACAGCATTGCTTGGTGTGCAAGTATAGTAGTGCAAGAGATGTACATTAGTATGTGCTTCAAGGATCACAGAACAGAAGAGAAACCAGAGTGCTTGAAAATTTAGAACTTAAAATACTATTCAGCAACTTTTAGGCTTAAGAACAGTGCTAAAACTCAAATCTTATCAGTAGGTACAATGCCAGTAGCTAAAAATGCAACTGCTAAACATAGCTAAATCTTCACTGGCTACATTAAAAGACCCTACTGAATGCAACGTAAGGTAACACTTAGTATGGAATTGTGGCTCATTAAGATTAAAAGTCCTATCAAGTAACGGTCGTGATACTAAGAAGCAAAAAGAGCTATTTGTAGCGTGATCTGCTTCCCTGGGCCACATGCTTCTGCAATAAAGAAGTACACAAGAAACATTTGCTGCTCCATCAAAGGCTCCATTTTGCTCACAGGTAACAGTGCATTCTGATGTGTTTTACTATAGAACTGGAAGCACAAGTTGCTTTATGAAGTGTATCCAATGGTTAAAATTAAGTAATTTTCCATTTGAAATCACATGCCACTTTTGTTTTAAAAGTCATTAAACAGAGAGCACTATCAAAGGCTGATAAAACAGCCTGTAATAGTTTTAACTTGGTTCCCCAACTTGAGAGAGAAGAGACTTGACATGAGACATTTTCAGTTTCCTGAAATGACAGCAGCAATGGAAGACTTATAATTATTATCAACTGCAACAAGAAGATCAGTAACATGTTTGGCAAGAATTTGAAATGATATCAGAACAGATCAGACGCACTTGTCTGGAATACTGCGAGTTGTTTATTTCCCCTTGTTACTCCCTCTTTTACGACTCCCTTTGGTCAGCAGCTGGAACTTCTCATTTAGATCAGATTAGCATTCCATTGACATTCTCTGGAGCTGGACTGTTTGCCTCCATAGCAACAGCTTTGTCAGCTAGCATGAGGTTCATGCAAAGAGCTGAGGAACTTACATCATACAATCAAAAATGTCTTTTTCCTCTGTCCACTTGCTCAACTTCTTTTCCTCTTATTTTTAAGCAGTAGCAGTCTTCTAAGCCTGTTAGACAGAGAATTAGATGATTACTCAAATGCAGAGTTGTAAAACACCTTTCTGCAACTTGTATGAGGCTCAGTGGGCAGATGGCTAAAACCTCACAGTAAGTAGCAGTAATGATGTCAATAAACCTCTGAAGAACAGCACTTAAACTATCTGTTCTACTTACGTCAATCATTTGAGTAACACTTAAAGCTGAATGACTCAGGTGAATGAAATCAGCTTAAAAGCTATACAGGATACACAACAGTAGATTACTTAAAAAAAATACTTCAGCTCCATTTAAATATGAAAACTAATACTTCATAGAAATGGAATAATAAAAATGATGAAACTGGAATTTAAGAACAAGAGTAAAAATTACAAATCATTCATGTAACAAGGGAAGACCACAACTACTTATAGAGTATACAGGGTGTATCAAACTGGCCCCAGGCCAGATCTGAACCATGGGGGCTCCTCCCAGGGCAGATCTGCAAGGCCAGTGGCAGCTGTAGTTGCACTGCCCTCACCTGCCAAGGCCATTGATGGCCATGTCCACCAGGGACTCAAATTCTGTGACAGGCCATGCCCTTTACTCCCCACAACACACACAATTTGACACCCCTGATCAAACAATTACAGATAATTCAAATATGATCTAGTGGTAGTCTCCCCTTCTTACATGAGATATATATAATCATTTTTAAAGGTAATTCCAATAGTGAGATTAACAATAGGGTCTGGTATGCAAGAAGAAACTGAAACTTCTCTGAAAAGGATAGTCAGTCTGCCCCCTGAACTGGAATAGAAGAGTTTAAATGACACAAGGAAAACCAAAACCAAAAGCATTCACTCATTCTCAGCAAGTCTCAACTTTCCAGTGCTGCTATGAATAGTTTTGTCCTGGCTACACTAATGAACTGTTTTCAAGGGTAGTTCAGTGGGCACTGCAGCTGCCAATATTACTTAGCAATGAGTGTTCTAGTTTGTCTGGCCTCAATCCTTTAATTTAAAAATATAGTGAGAAGTTTGCTTATTCTAAATGATTTAACTGGGAATTCTTAAGCAGCACATAAAAAGGTGCGTTTGTGAGGGAAGATGTGCAGGTTTTTGACATCTCTTAGAATTCTAGTTTAAAAGGGAAAATTTTACAAGCTTCACGTTGCTGATGATATTCTTGAAATTTTGTTACTAAAATTCACCATTAATCTACACCCGTCTTAGTGTCACCAAGGTCAACTCATGAATTTAACTATAGGTTCCTTGCCTTTTGTTTGCCTTTTGTCATATTGTGCTTTCACCAATACAGCTCTATAGTTCAGCCCTTGATGCAGGCTTCCATATCTCACTACCTATTACACAGCTAGTGCTCACAAAGATAACTAAATCTTTTATTAACTGAATAAACAGTATGGCAGAGACCAGTCACCACAGTAATTTAAGAAAGGAAATGAAAAGAAGTGTGGGCTGGAGATTCAGATGAATGGCAAAGAAGTGTGTGTTCAGATTCGAAATTTGGACAGTATGAATCATGAACCAAATGAAAAGCACAGAAGTGACAGCATTACAGCTTATAAAAGAGCTCTATACCCCAACTTAGTTCATATGCCCACTGCCTTTGAAGCTACTACAACTAAATTTCCAGCTTTAAACCAACTCTGCTATATCAACCCCTTGCTCCACTACAGATATATGTAGATGGCAGTGGATAAAATGGACATTTTAAAAACACAAAAGAAAATAAAATTGCTGAATCAGTTAAATTGTATTTCCTTTCCCCACCCCTCTTTTATAGCATTGACCCTAAACATTTAGAAAACCTTAAGGCAGAAGGATGCATATTAAAGAAATTCCTAAAATTCCAGGTAAATGTTAACAGATATCAAAGGAGAGTCCAGAGACTTGACAAGAAATAAGTGGCTTGTTATCAATCATTCATCCACAAACTTCAAATTTCATCATCTGAGAAAGTAAACAGTTTCCTAGTTTCAAACTGTGATTTCATTCTCTCAGTGAAATTAAAATGAAATATTGTTGCTGTTCTGGTTCTGTCTCTGCACTCTGTTTTTTTGTTTTGTATTATTGTACCTGGATCTCACATTTCTTCCTCTATTATTAAATGTCTGAATCAAGTGATCTCAAGTTTGTCCTTGCTTTAAAATTAATTTAAGTAATTTAAAATGTGATAGCTGCACCAATCTGAGACTGTGTAAAGTTGAAGAGTAGAAAAGTGAATTTATATTGCATCACTGTCAATCAAATTTTTCAAGATATTGAAAACATGCAAAGGGTGGTTGCTGTAGCCTGGTGAATCTGACACCCAAGGGGAGCTTTAAAAACAGTTTTCCTGGTCCTTTGCTCACAAAGGCAGAACTTTTTACTACTTCAAATTTGCAATCCCTAAGGAGGTTGACACACAAGGGGTCAACATCTTTTTTACCCTCTGCAAAATTCATCATAGCATTTTTAGCTTTTTCTTTGATTACTGTTGAGAGGTTTTGCCAGAAGCCTCACTCACAATGTCAGTTACTTATTTTATGAAATATGTGCCTACAGTTCTACATGGTTTGATCTCAGTGAAACTGCCCATATCAGGATTTGGCTCCCAAACTTCATTTCTGCAATATTTTCTGAGTGCACCATGGCAAAGAAACCAGTTTTTATCGTTGTCTTCTGTGCTCTGGTCTGACTTGTAACCAACCCCATCTTCATATAACTCACAGCTGTCTTAAATAAGAAGACAATCTGCAAAAGTTTGTAGTTGCCACCATCTTTTGGAATTTGAAGAGAATATTTTCAAAACAAATTCAAGCTTTTTAAAATATAGATAACTTCTAAAATCCACAATAGAAAGCTTATGGTTCTATGGCTGATACAGGGCACACGATGAGGAGTATCTCATCTAAATATGGCCTTAGCACACTTAACACCCCCCCAAACACAAAAAAATCACCATGTTCATTTCTACACCACCTACATATTGACCAGATTTTCAGTTCTGTTGTTTTGATTCCCACAACAGTTTTTTTCCCCATAAAATGATCAGCTATTTCAGATTCCAGCTTTATAATGTCCAAGAACAGATTTTCCCTGACTAAACAAACCTGATGCACTGCAACTCTTGCTCAATGGATCTATCATTAAGTCTCATATCTAACTTTATGTCTGAGTAGCGGTGTTTTATCAGTGATGCTCCAGGGATGAAAGAAGCAGGACACCTGTTATTCAACCAATTTGCATAGTTGAGAGAGAGAGGAAGTAAGATTTTGGACCTGATGAAGGGCACACAAAGCCCAAAAGCCTGTCTCTGTCCCTTCTAATTATAGGAGTTGGTCCATTATTAATTCAGTATAAAATTTTAGATACTCTCTTATGAAGGCTTTCACTTCCCAGGTGTAAACAGATTCTGAACCAAGATTAATACTATCTTTAGTCTGTAAATTGCGGGTGGTATTTTGAAATGTCAAAAAATGAAGTATTTAGCAACCACATATATATACATATATATACACACACATATACATACACACACACACACACACACACACACACACACACCCCCCCATCAAGGTGGTAGAAGCTGAGATCAAAACTGGTTCTATTTTATGGAGCAATCTTGTGCTAAAAGCTTCTTGTATGCAAAGGACAAGATTTTGTCCTGCATGTTATGCTATAGGGTTTTGAAAGCACTTAAGAATGAGTTTACTGATTTGCAAGGAAAAACACTGCATACCAGACATCCCCAAATAAGACACACGCCTTGTATTGGAAGGCAGAATGTACAAAAAAAAGATTTTTCCAGTCACAACCTAGATTTAGCTTTTGCATGGAGAAGCAATGCTGCAAGACAGCTGCCAGCTTCTGTTTCAGGCAACAAGCAAGACAGGTGGCATCCAGTGTTAATCTTTTCCCAGACACTCTCAAGTATGAAACAGGTTTTGGCTGGGTAAGAGTTAACATTGGATAGCATAATTGCTGCTTGCTGCCAGAGGGAGAAGCTGGCAGCCATCCTGTAGCATTACCTTTCCATGCTTCTATTCTAGTGAAGGAAAATCAGCTTCCACACAAGACACGCACCCCAGTGTTGAAGGGTAGATTTTTGGGAAAACAGTATGTATGGTAAACACAGTACATGTTCCAATTCTACTAATGTACTGGAGGACTAGTGAACAGTAAATGTTGATACTTTAATTTTGAGAAGGTACAAGAGCAAATCAGGAAATTACCAATAGAAAGCCTTACTCTTGTTGACACAGTGAGACTCAGAACACATGTATCACAATGCAAGGTCTAACCAATATAGCTAATGCATAAGAAGATACTGACAAATGAAAATACCACTAGATTACCACAAAAAACAAGAGAAACATATAAAGTCTTAAAGCAAATAAAAAGAGCCATATAATCAGGCAACCAGTGGTGCACAGGACTATGTACAAGGACAAAGATTAGAAAGTTAGCACTTGACAATATTTTCTTGTAGATGTTTGTAATGTACGTCAATATTTGTGCCATAGGTTTGCTGGAAGGAGTCTCAGATAACAATTACCTTGTCTATCAGAGATGGAATTATAGGTTAAGACCAGTGGCGCTTAACATTTTGGCTCTATGGGACACAAGTGGGATGGGGTGGGGTGGTCCATTGGCTGGATTGAGCCCTGGCCTCAGCACCACCCCCTCCTTGCCCTGAGTGGGCCCTGTGACCAAGCACCACACCTTCTTGCCCCCATGTGCCTGGATTGGTCTCCAGGGGCCCAATGCCATCTTCTACCACCAGAATTGCTTCCCACGGGCCTGGCATAGGCCCCTCCCATTCCAGCTTGCTGGGCTGGGGTCCTGAGGGCCTAGTGCCTCCTACTCCTGGTCCCTGGGGGCATGCAGAGACTGGGCCCTGGAGCCCAATGTCATTCCCA